CCTTTGTGAAGTACTGTTAAAATAGCCCCCCATTTCTGGGTACTCTTAAAAATGCTGCTTTGAGCCGATGCCGCGGCTCAATAGGCTAATCCTCCACCTGCGGCGCCAGCACACTGGGTTCTAGTCCCAGTCGAGGCGGCGGATTCTGTCCCAGTTGCCCCTCTTCCAGTCTAGCTCTCTGCTGTGGCCAAGGAGTGCAGTGGAGGATGGCCCAGGTCCTTGGGTCCTGCACCCACATGGGAGACCAGGAGAAGCACCTGGCTCCTGGCTTCGGATCAGAGCGGTGCGCCGGTCACAGCTCGCCAGCCGTGGCGGCCATTGGGGGGTAAACCAACAGAAAAAAGGAAGACCTTTCTCTCTGTCTCTCTCTCACTGTCTACTCTGCCTGTCAAAAAAAAAAAAAAAAAAAAATGCTGCTTTGAGGTCAGTAGCTCAGCAAATTAAGCCTCCATCTGCAGTGCCAGCATCACATGAGGGCACCAGTTCGAGTCCCAGCTGCTCCACTTCCAATCTAGCTCCCTGCTAACACACCTGAGAAAGCAGCAGTTGATGGCCCAAGTAGCTAGGTCCCTCCTACCAACATGTGAGACCAAGATGTTGTTTCAGGTTCCCATTGTGGCCATTTGAGGAGTGAACCAGAGGATGGAAGATCTATAATTCTGCCTTTCAAATAAATAAATCAATCATAATAAAAAAAAGTTCTTCAAATGCTCGCATTCCAATCACTAGACACATGTAATACCATTTGTTATATCAGCTATACACTAAGATAATTCTTGCTTGCTAGATGGAGTTTGCTGTTTAAAAACAGGGTAGAATGTTCCAAAAATTCTTGAATAATATGACCAGTTGTCACAGAAAAAAATCACAATGTGTCACACTTAGCAGGCAGGGAGGGGTCAAGAAATACAAACCATGGACAGGGGCAAGTGAAGGAAACAAAACACCATAAAAGATTGCAGTAAAACATTGGAGGTTACAATGGGTGACAATTACCCCACCTGACAGTTATAACCCAAAACTGATGAACCCAATTCAGACAATCAGGACTTAAAACAATGAAACAGCACCATTTAAAAGCGGTTACTCCTGGGGCTGGTGCCAAGGCTCACTTGGTTAATCCTCTGTCTGTGGCGCTGGCACCCCATATGGGCACCGGGTTCTAGTCCCGATTGTTCCTCTTCCAGTCCAGCTCTCTGCTGTGGCCCGGGAGGGCAGTGGAGGATGGCCCAAGTCCTTGGGCCCTGCACCCACATGGGAGACCAGGAAGAAGCACCTGGCTCCTGGCTTCAGATCAGAGCAGCACCGACCATAGCAGCCATTTGGGGAGTGAACCAATAGAAGGAAGATCTTTCTCTATGTCTTTCTCTCACTGTCTAACTCTATCTGTCAAATAAAAAAATAAAAATAAAAATAAAAAAAGCAGTTACTCCAGAAGTACAAGACAGCATGCTCAGCCCATCTTACTTTCAAATTAGTTGTTCAACCAAGGTTTAACACATGGTACCTGGTAAGGGAGACCAGACTCCAGCACATGAGGAAATGCACAAAATCAGAAGCTACCATAAATCAATATATCCACCTGCTTCTCCTTGTATGCATACATATAATGGCTGGTAAGAAAAACTTCCTCCTCCTGCTCTAGAGCTGTTTCTGCTTCCTAGGGGTCTCATGGCTTCTGATATTCAACTGGACCAGCATTAAGAGGAGTAAATTGCTCTAGAGCAGGGGTGAGGAACCTTTTTTCTACCAAGGGCCTTTTGAATATTTATAACATCATTCACATGTCATACAAAATTATCGATTTAAAAATTAGCCTGCTTGGGGCTGCTGCTGTGGCGCAGTGGGTTAACACCCTGGCCTGAAGAACCGGCATACCATAGGGGTGCCGGTTCTAGTCCCGGCTGCTCTTCTTCCAATCCACCTCTCTGCTATGGCCTGGGAAAGTAGTAGAAGATGGCCCAAGTCCTTGGGCCCCTGCACCCACATGGGAGACGCAGAAGAAGCTCTTGGCTCCTGGTTTCAGATCAGCACAGCTCCGGCTGTTGCGGCCAATTGGGGAGTGAATCATCAGATGGAAGACTCACTCTCTCTCTCTCTCTCTCTCTCTCTCTCTGCCTCTCCTCTCTCTGTTTAACTCTGACTTTCAAATAAATAAATAAATCTTTAAATAAATAAATAAATAAAATAAAATAAAATTAGCCTGCCATACATTTATTGAATTTCAAGTCCCACCTGCAGTTGCCTTGGCAGGGCCAGACCAAATGATTTCAGGCCAGACATTCCCCACCCCTGCTCTAGAGAAAGCAATGAATAGGAGCTCAGATGGCAATGAGAAGGATCAAGGCCAGATCAAGAAACAGATGACTGGAAAATTATGGAAACTCCTGGGGAAGTATTAACAATACTCTCAAGATCCGGGATCATTCATAGAGCTCAGCACAACTGTCTAGTCCAAGAGAGACAATGATCTGGAACAGAGAAGCATTTAATAAAGAAATCCCATGTGAATTCATTTTTCAAAAGAAGCCCATTACTCCCCAGATGTGGGATTAGGGAGCCTTGGAAAATCAGAGGCAGAATCTTCCCAGCATTTTCAATGTCTCAGACAAGAACTCAGGTACAGATTTCATCACTAGTAACAAAAGAGATCATCTTTCTCTTATTTATTTTTAAAAAACTTCCCATAACCCTTATTTACCTTATAATATTCCTGTTTTTCCTGCCCTGGTTGCACTGGGGAACAGCGACAAAGCTGGCATTTCTCAGGAGTTAGTAAGGTACACCTGTTTTGGTTGTTAATTGGTTACTAACTGAATGTAGATAGCCCACTTCACAGAGGGTCAGTGGCTTATAACTAAGGAGCAATTTTGGGGCCAGTGTTGTGGTACAGCAGGTAAAGCCACCACCTGTAATGCCAGAATCCCATATGAGTGCTGGGTCATGTCCTAGTTGCTCCATTTCCAATCCAGCTCCCTGCTAATGGCCTGGGAAAAGCAGTGGAGGATGGCTCAAGTACTTGGGCCCCTTCCACCCATGTGGAAGACATAGAAGAAGCTCCTGGCTTTGGTCTGGCCCAGCACTGGCTGTTGAGGCAAACTTGGAGTGAACCAGCAGATGGAAGATATGTCTGTCTCTAGCTCTCCCTCTCGTTCTCTGTAACTGACTTTCAAATAAATAAATAAACCTTTTTTTTAAAGGAGCAATTTATTACATGATGGATTGCTAAGTTCTTATAATTTCCATTAAGATTTCCCTCAGTTCAGGTGTGTCTCCAAGGGCACAACCTCTTAGTGGCTCAGAATACAGAAACAAAAACATGTAAACAAATCAAAAAGTGAATACAGGCTAGAAAGGACATCCGACAAACTGGACAATGTCAACAAAATCTTAAATGTGAATGGTCTTACAAATAAAGAGCCTCCCCTTTCCTGAGCTGCCTTCCCTGGACAGGCAGGAGGAAAAATAACACATCATTTCCTAGGTTCAGAAAGAACTCTTGACTACAACATCATGATTACAGAAGATATGATGTCCCCTTGGCTTTCAACAGAACTCTATCTTAATTAGTTATTAATGAAGAGCCCCCTGCAAGGTCGAAGATGGGCTACGATGGAAACCAGATATTCATATCTCAATGTTCAAAGAGTAAGAAAGGGCTAATAAGCATTTTGCCTAGATGAGCAGAAACAGTCATGGAAGGGAGGGGCAGGTATCTAGAGATTATTTCTTATATAATGAGCTGAGAAGCAGAACTTGATAATATCTTCAACAACCAAGACCAAGATCTGTCTTGGGTCCATATGAGAAATTTGAAATGTGTAAAGAAACTAAGAGGACTATGGTTTGCGCACTTTCACAGTTTTGCTGAAACTAAGGCTTCCACAGTTTCAGAAAGCTAGTCTTACTGCCAATAAGGCTGATAAATCAAGGATGCAGCTAATCTACATGGTCCTATTCTTCTTCCAGAATATTACTCTTCTGTAGAATAGGAAAAGTTAGCAGTTCTATCAGAATTAAATTCAAATTCTAACATGGAAAAAATTGACAAACTTGGCAATATACACAAAAGCATACTACTACCTTCCCAGCAGGCTCAGGGGGGAAAATGTCTTCTTTTGCCCTTACTCTCTTAAATAGATGAAAGTCCAAGTTTTCTTGAGAAAAACATCTCATATTTCCTTAAATTCAATTCTAATCACCCATGATAGATATTTAATGTGCTAACATAAAATAAGTGGGAGAAAAGGGGCTGATTTTCTAATTAACTACTCTTAACCCTACTTTTACAGATCAAATACAAACAGACCTCCAGCTTTGAAATGCAGAACCCTGGCACAAAGAGACCAAATCCTATGCAGACCTGCACACAGAACAATGGGAAATGGGTAATACCAACACAGTCACATAAGAAAATCCAAAAAAGCTATTTTAGATGAAGAAATAGAAAAATATAAAATAAAAAAGTGAGGATGTTCCCAACATGCTGCATAACAAAGATGCCATCGAAAGCATCTAGAATATAGTTCTATTTTTGAAGAAAAATGTGAATGTGTATACACCTATGAGTACATAAAATACCAGATGACTAGATGGTTATAACAAAATCTCAAAGTGTTAACTTTGGAAAAATTTTTAATCAATTTTATTTTTATTTTATTAACTTTTAGTAATAATTTTTATTATTTCCTTTGGTTATCTGTGTTTTATTAATTTTCCAGAAATAATGTGTTACTTTGGTACAGGAAAAGCAAATTTCACATTTTAAGACAAATTTAAACAAACTTCAGTTCAGAAAACCAAAGCATCCTAGGTCTGATCTGTTTCTCTTTCCTCACCCCCACCATACCTTTCCTGGAATTCTCTGTATAAATAAATCTTCAGTGACCTAAAGACACAATTCAATAATTGCTTCTATTCAACAACAAAAGTCTAATAACCATGAGTAGTAAGTTCAAGGATTAAAAAAAAGTAATCTGTGAAAACACTTTTCTCTCTACCTGGGCATAACGTAAGAGCTTCTCAGTGGCCTCAGGGTCTTTATTCCAGATGAGGTCTTCACAGAGCCGGAGGAGTTCCTTATGGATATCATCATACACAGGGAGGTTTCCAGCATTCACTATCCCCATGTCCATACCAAACTAAGGGCAATAAAAAGAAAAGTGAGGATGTGCAGTGATGCCCTACATCAGGGGTCTGCAAACTTTTTCTGAAGGGGCCAGACAAGAAAATATCTTAACAGGGGCAGGAATTTGGTGTAGCAGTTAAGATGTCAATTAAGACACCTCCAATTCCATAGTGGAGTGCCTGGGTTTGATATCTGGCTATGGCTCTTGACTTCCTACTAATATGTACTCTGGGCGGTAGCAGTGATGGTTCCTAGTCTCAGCCAACATAGGCATCTAGGGAATGAACCAGCAGTTGGGAGTGCATACTCATTCATTCTCTCTCTCTCTCTCTCTCTCCCCCCCTCCCCCCTCCCTCCTCCCCTCTCTCTCTGAAGTAAATCAATCTTTAAAAGAGAAAATATATCAGGCCACAGTCTCTCCCGCAACTACTAAAAATGTAAGTGAATGGGTGTAGCTCTGTCCCAGTAGAACCTATTTACAGCCATAGGCAGCAAGCAAGAGTGAGCCTGTAGCCATATTTTACAATCCTTGCCCTAAATAAAAATTGGTTTCAACAGTACAAACAGGACTTCTACCATACCTTGATTGCATGGTAAAGGAAAACGCCATGCATTGCTTCTCGAATGGCTTCCATTCCTCGGAAGGAGAAGGACAAGTTGGAAAGACCCCCACTTATTCTGACTCCAGGTAAGGTTTCCTGGAAGAAATTTAAGAATCTGAAAATATATCCCTATTTCCCAAAAGCAGCAAACACATCTCTTAAACTTTATATGTAAAAGTGGAAAGTAAAAACATAAGCTTATTTGGGCAATACAGTGATCCTATGGGTTTTTTTTTTTTTTTAATATTTATATATTTATTTATTTATTTATTCGACTGTCAGAGAGCTGGATGGAAAGTGGACCAGTCGGGACTCGAACCAGCACACATATGGGATGCCGGCACTGCAGGCAGCGGTTTTACCCACTATACCACAGCGCCGGTCCCATTCTCCACTTCTGATCCAGCTCTCTGCTATGGCTTGGGAAAGCAGTAGAAGATGGCCCAAGTGCTTGGGCCCCTGCATTCATGTGGGAGACCCAAAAGAAGCTCAAGGCTCCTGGTTCCTGGCTTTGGATCAGCACAGCCCCAATCGATGCGGCCAATTGGAGAGTGAACCAGTGGATAGAAGACCTCTCTTTCTGTCTCTCTGTAACTCTGCCTTTCAAATAAATAAATCCTAAAAAGCAAAATGGGGGAGGGGGAATGCTGTGCCACAGTGGGTTAAAGTCCCAATCTGCAGCACCAGCATCCCATATGGGTGCCGGTTCGAGTCTCATCTGCTACGCTTCTGATCCAGCTCCCTGTTAATGCACCTGAAAAAGTAGCAGAGGATGGTCCACCATCTTGGGCCCCTGTACCCACATGGAAGAGCTTAAGAAGCCCCTGGCTCCTGGCTTCAGATTGGCTCAGCTCCAGCCATTGCAGCCATTTGGGGAATGAACCAGCAGATGGAAGATCCTCTCTCTCTCTTTTATTTATTTATTTATTTATTTATTTATTTATTTTTTGACAGGCAGAGTGGATAGTGAGAGAGAGAGACAGAGAGAAAGGTCTTCCTTTTGCCGTTGGTTCACCCTCCAATGGCCGCCACGGCCGGCATGCTGCAGCCAGCATACCGCGCTGATCCGAAGGCAGGATCCAGGTGCTTCTCCTGGTCTCCCACGGGGTGCAGGGCCCATGCACTTGGGCCATCCTCCACTGCCTTCCCCGGCCACAGCAGAGAGCTGGCCTGGAAGAGGGGCAACTGGGACAGAATCCGGCGCCCCGACCGGGACTAGAACCCGGTGTGCCGGCACCGCTAGGTGGAGGATTAGCCTATTGAGCCGTGGCGCCAGCCTCTCTCTCTCTTTCTACCTCTCTCTCTGTAACTGTCTTTCAAATAAATAAAATAAATTTAAAAAAAAAAAAAAAAGGTAAAATCAGGGCCAACATTGTACCATAGGGAATTAAGCTGCTGCCTGCAGTGTTAGCATCCCCAAAGATGGCTCAGCTTCTTGGGCCCCTGCGCCCATGTGGGAGACTCGTATGAAGCTCCTGGCTCCTGGCTTTGGTATGGTTCAGCCATTTGGCAAGTGAATCAGCAGATGCAGGATCTCTCCCTCTCTCTCTCTCTCTCTCTACCTCTTTCTTTCTGTAACTCTGCCTTTCAAATAAATAAAATCTGTTTTTTTAAAAAAAGTGAAAAACAGTTGTAAAAAGAATGAGAGCTGGCCGGCACCGCGGCTCACTAGGCTAATCCTCCGCCTTGCGGCGCCGGCACACCAGGTTCTAGTCCCAGTCGGGGCGCCGGATTCTGGCCCAGTTGCCCCTCTTCCAGGCCAGCTCTCTGCTGTGGCCCGGGAAGGCAGTGGAGGGTGGCCCAAGTCCTTGGGCCCTGCACCCGCATGGGAGACCAGGAGAAGCACCTGGATCCTGCCTTCAGATCAGCGCAATGCGCCGGCTGTGGCGGCCACTGGAGGGTGAACCAACGGCAAAAGGAAGACCTTTCTCTCTGTCTCTCTCTCTCACTGTCCACTCTGCCTATCAAAATAAAAAAAAAAAGAATGAGAGCTAAAACAAGGTTTATCATCACCCTATTTAATCTCATCTGGGTTCATGTGGGTTATTCAAATTCTTCACCACTTTACACATGGGTATGTCTGTGAATGATTACAGAAACAGCATGAGTACTGATTTTGGGGTCACAAGTTTTAATGAGTATGTGAATTTGGAATTACAAAATCCATGGATAATGTAAATCCAAGTTATACATATAAATGATGAAATTATGAAAATACACAATAAAGTGGTATAAAAATCAGGACAAAAGGTACTTTATAATAAGGTGTAATCAGAAAGGGAGGCACATGGGAGACTAGTCATTTTTATTCTAGGCTAAGTGAAACCTAGGATATGCGTCATAATTAATTGTTTATTATATTCCACATATTTTTTATATATTCTCACTTATGTGTGTTATACTTAACAATTTAAAACAATATCATATAAAAGAAGAAAAGTCCTTAAATTTCAGAAAAACAATTGACCAAGAACAAGAATGTCAACATTCCCAGCCTATACATATATTTAATACACACACACACACACACACACACACACATATATATATGTTAGCTCTAACCATTCACCGGACTCACATGATAAATTTGAGCCATGAGTTGAGTAAAAGACAGAAAATATCCATACTTACTTTAATAACTTTTGTTGCATTGATAAAATTAATAGCATACAAGTTGTGTTCTTCCATCCCAGTACCAATAGTGAGGATATTGGGGTCAAAAATGATATCATTTGGATTAAAGCCCAGTTTTTTCACAAGTAGATGGTAGGCCCGAGTGCACACTCTGATTTTGACATCTGTTTCTGTTGCCTAGGGAAAGGAGATGTCATTTGAAACAGAAAAATTAAGTGTTATCTGTGAAAACAGAGCAATTTCACATGTCAAGAGCACTCAAGTATCAATGCTTAGATTTTATAAAAATCCAAATGCTAAATAGTCTCTAAACATTTATTAAGTTATCCCAGAGAAAGAACTGATTTAAAGATACCATTAACAACATTACCACAACAATTAATGCTTATTTAATAAAAATCAAATTTTACTTGTGAATTATAACAAATTAATAAACTTCTAAAGCTACACATATCAAATATAAACTCAAACACCACTAAAGAATAGATTAAAAAAATAAGTGTCCTCCCTGTCTTGACCTCCCTGCAAAGATCTAAGCTCTTCTCTCAAGCAACACTGCCATCTTTTCCTGTATCTTATGGCAATCATATTTTAAGTAGACTCAGATACCTATTTATCCTCCCACCACAGCACTGGCTTATTAACATACGCTTTTAAGTCATACACAAAATTTAGTGTTACCCTTCAAGATGTCCCTAGAAGGTAAAACACAGACTGCAGCAAACTTGTACTCCCAACTACTTCCTATCACCCACAGAACCAGGGCAGCCATCTCTAATGTCAGTTCCAACCACCTGCTCTCTCCTCTACCCTTCTTCCCCTATGCTACTCCCTTGATGTTCCTGAAACCCACCAAGCTTGCTCACACCTCAGAGCCTTTCCATTTTCTGCTGCTGCTGCCCAGAACATACAGTGACATGGCTTTGAGCCTTATACCACTCAGGTCTCTACCTAAACATCACTTTTCCAAAGGCCTTCCTTGATCACTCTCTCTTAGCCTGCACACCTCTACCATTTCCAGCTTCTCCATTCTTCTTCAGAATATCTCTTTCCAGAATCAGTGTTAATTTAGAAACTTATTTATTATTTTTGGCTGGGTTTTTTGTTGTTGTTGTTGTTGTTGTTTGTTTTTGTTTTTGACAGGCAGAGTTAGACAGTGAGAGAGTTAGAGAAGAAAGGTCTTCCTTTTTCCGTTGGTTCACCCCCCAAGTGACTGCTACGGCCAGTGCATTGCAGCTGGTGCGCTGCACCGATCTGAAGCCAGGAGCCAGGTGCTTCTCCTGGTCTCCCATGCGGGTGCAGGTCCTTGGGCCCTGGGCCATCCTCCACTGCCCTCCCGGGCCACAGCAGAGAGCTGGACTGGAAGAGGGGCAACCGGGACAGAATCCCGCGCCCCAACCGGGACTAGAACCCAGTGTGCCAGCGCCACATGCGGAGGATTAGCCTAGTAAGCCGCAGCGCCAGCCCTGGCTGTTTTATTACTTATTATTTTACTCAAAGAATTACTAAACTTTGTCATGCAAAGTGTCTCCTGATGAAATTTATAACTCAAACATACAGCATATTCACCAAATGACATACTCAATGATTTGTGATGAGATTTCTTAGAAAAGCAAATCTATTGATAGAAAAACCTGTTATCACTATAGTGATTCCAAAAAAATAAATCACATACAATTCTTATGGGAAATTCTAATGAATGTGAAAAATGTGCTTGAGAAATGTCGAGCCCCTCTGAGATGTACTGCAATCTTCCAAGCTGAGGACTCAGGGAAGATGCTCCTGCCTGGATATGAACACTAAGGTTTAGTCCCAGTTTCTGATCACATACTTCCTGCCCTCTGGAGGGAGCTCTCCCAGGAACCTCAGAGACACTGACTTGACTCAAGGACAGTGAGGTCTCATCCTCCAGAAAGCAAACAATGGTGGGGAATTAAAAGAATTCACTCTGGGGCCTGCACTGTGGCATAGAGGGTTAAGCCACCGCCTGCAGTGCTAGCATCTCATATGGATGCCAGTTTAAGACTTGGCTGCTCCACTTCCGATCCAGCTCTCTGCTATGAACTGGGAAAGCAGTAGAAGATGGTCCAAGCCCGTGTGCACCCTTGTGAGAGACCTGGAAGAAGCTCCTGGCTCCTAGCTTCGGATCGGTGCAGCTCCGGCCATTGTGGCCATCTGGGGAGTGAACCAGCAGATGGAAGACTTTTCTCTCTCTCACTCTCGCTCTTGCTCTCTCTGCCTTTCTTCTCTCTGTGTAACTCTATCAAATAAATAAACAAATCTTAAAAAAAAAAATTTCACTCAGGTCTATTCTTTTGATCACTTACCTAATTTGGTACTTATTTCTTCAACTATTCTCTTTAGTCTCTTTAATCTTTTCTTGCTTCCTGCAGCTGGTTGGGTTAGATTTCACTTCCTATCTGGGAAATGCCCTTACAAACTTAGCAGACCTAAGAAAAGGGTGACAAGGAGCAAGTCTTCAGCCCCACTCCTCCAGGTTCTAAGGGAGGCAGTAAACTCATCTCAATTTGAACAACTTCTTATTTCCTCTGCCTTTAGTTAGAGTGAGAAAGTTGAAGTCGAGACTAAGATATGGGCCTAGGAAAAAGCAGTTACCCAGAGCTGACTTCAGTTCACCAGAAGGCCAAATGGAGTAGTAGACTTTAAGCTCACTAAAAGGGGAGGTATAGGGATTGGGATTGCCAGTGATACTAGTTGTTCTTACTAACTTAGTTTGGTTAGTAGTATTACCAGTTACTGAGGGAAGGGTTCTTTCCCTTGTTCCAAGTAAGCAGAAACTTAATTTTTGTTTTGCAAAGCGACAGTAGAGTATCTAGTCTGAAAGGAGACCAGACTGAGTGCCCAAGCAGGACACTAGTTTTCATGAAGTGCACAGAGTTTTTAAGGCTTTGCTGGTTGTTTTGTTTTGTTTTGTTTTTTGTTTTTGTTTTTGTTTAATGGGTCCTTGTATAAGGGCGCCTGCTGGACAGGTATTTCACATAATGTATGCTCATTGGCTAAGGGCCATAGTGATAGTAGAGGTTTTTTGGTGACAGCCCAAATGGGAGATGCTAAGTGCTATACTCTTTGGTGGATCCAGCCCCCTCTTCAGCTAGTTCTGCATGGAAAATTTTGACTAAATTGAAGATGTGGTCAAAACCACAGGCTCATACAGAAAACAGGATGTTAACAGTGGGGAGAGATGCCAGCAGGTCTCAGAGCAAACCTCCCTGTCACAGCTTATGGCCTGTATACACAAAACATTCTGCTAAAGCCTGAGAGGCCCACAGACACTTGGCCTAACCCGGCAGCCTCAGGTAGTCAAGATTCTGGTCATCTCTGTTTCTAAGCCAGAGGAGCAGGCACAGAGGAGTCTGTCACATACAGAAGACTGGAGTATGGAGTCCAGCTACATACCAAGGGCAGCACTGCCAGGGGGACATGAGGAACACCCTCATGTACAGGAATCAATCTCCAGAGCCAGAAAAGGGTCATCAACCATAACCTCCATTAGAACAAGACCCTTGGGGGCCAGCACTGTGGCGCAGCAGGTTAACACCCTGGCCTGAAGCACTGGCATCCCATATGGGCTCCGGTTCTAGTCTCAGCTGCTCCTCTTCTGATCCAGCTCTCTGCTATGGCCTGGGAAAGCAGTAGAAGATGGCTCAAGTCCTTGGGCCCCTGCACCCACGTGGAAGACCCGGAAGAAGCTTCTGGCTTCGGATCGGCACAGCTCCAACCATTGCAGCCCTCTGGGGAGTGAACCAGCAGATGGAAGACCTCTCTCTCTGTCTCTAGCTCTCTCTGTAACTCTCTTTCAAATAAATAAAATAAAATCATTTTTAAAAAAAGAACAAGACCCTTGTGAAACTGCTCTCATGCCAGCACAGTACATGTCACAGTAACACCCGCTCAACCTCTGCCTACGGAATAAACAGACAAATCTCAGAACAATATATCAGTGTGCAGGCCTCTGCCAGGAGCAGACTACACTGTAATACACTCTCCAAGATTCACTGTCTTATATCTTAGCTAGGGCTGCAATGCACACATGCTAGTAAGCTACAATCATGCTTTGGAATTTCACAGACCAAAAAGAAATTTGGTGAAACAACAGAATGGGGCTTTCCCGCATCAGGAAGGGCTATAAGCCCTGGCTGCACATTATAGTAACTGGGCAGGCTTTTGCCTTTTTGTTTTTTAGTACTAATACCTCACCCTAAACCAGTTAAATAGAATCTTGAAATGAAACATCAGCAACAATTTTTCTCAAGAGCCCATTAGATGCTAGTGTACAGCCAGGATGAGAATCATTGAGAAATGAGATATGGCATCTCCTTATGTTGGGGTAGACAAAAAACTCAGTGACAATCTAAGGGGAAAGGAGGAAAGAACAAATGTCTTGTATGATTTTATGAACAGTTTATTCTTAAGCCACAGAAAAGCTAGACAGCAATTAGTGAGTTTAAGGCTTTACTTAAGTCTACTCTTGGGTTTTGCTACAATACCAAACACTCAGGAGAAATATAAAACAATTTCTGAGTTATCATCAAAACAGATGATAAGAACAGCAGAGGGCTGTCCTGCTTCTACAGAGTGAAAAAAAAAATGATGGAAAGGATTCTTGTGCCATCAGAAGAACACCAACAAGTTGGAAAGAACAAGCTGAAGAAAGGGAGATTTCTCAGAGAAAGCAAGGTGAAGGATAGTTTGGTCACTGAGGGCACAGGCTCAGTCAGAAATCTTTCAAACAGAATTCTCTGCTGTGCCAAAGCAGCTGTAAGCAAGTGCTAGGAAACCAAGAGCCCAGGTAGAAGTAGCAGCCATGAGTGTAAAAATGAAGACAGCTGACACTCTGCCAACATCACAAGAACAGAGAAGACCCCTGAGCTACGGTTATGGAAATACAAAGACAATTGTTATGGGACAACAGAACTTGTCTCCTAAAAACTTATGCATGCAAGGGGCTTAGCATTGTGGTGAAGAGGGTTGAAACACCACTTGGAATGCTGACATCACACATCACCAGTTCAAGTCCCTGCTGCTCCACTTCCCATCCAGCTCCCTTCTGATTGGCCTGGGGAAACTGTGGAAGATGGTCCAAGTACTTGGGCCCCTGCTACCGACATGGGAGACTCTTATCTCTTAGCTCTGTCTCCTAGCTTCAGCCTGGCCCA